CCCACCCCTTCTGCTCTCCCACCTCCACCCCTTAGGGCTGGCTCCGCCATTATAAATTTATAACAGGAATTTCTCCACAAGCCAAGAAAAACTTGACCTAGTTTCTTGAAGGCTCCCTGGGCTAAAACTCTCCGCTCGGCCCCCCCACCCCGTCTCCTGTCCGGCCCCGGTGCCTGGTTCTGGCCTGGGGGTGGTCAGAGACAGAATGGGCCACTTCTCTGTACCTCCTCCCACACTCCCCACCCGGGGCTGCCTGCCGGTGCCCTGGCTTATCTCTGCCCCCTCTTCTTACCCTGGCCCCTTATCACTCCTGGGGGTGGGGCTGGGGGGCCCAGGGCAAGGTCTCTGGTACGGGAACCACGTGGTGAGGCTGAGTGTGGGGACCGGCAGCCCTTTGGTCCCTGCCCGTATCCTGCACCTGCCCATGTACACGGAAACAAGCACAGGTCTCAGCTCAGGGCCTGAGGGGCAGCAGGCTGGCGGGTGGGCCTGGGCTGGCACTTCCCTGGCTCCAGGTAGCCGGAGGAGGATGGCATCAGGGCCTGGCGGTAAGACAGGCGGGGCAGTCCCTGCGCCACCTGCATCCTGGCTGTGTCAATTTGAGGGAAGGATCCCGCTTTCCGAGACTCCGTTCCCTCGGCTGTCAAGTTCTGAGGCACACTTTGAAAGCACGTTTATTCAGCCAACATATTTCAGCTTCCCTCACTATTCTGGTGGGCGGCAGCTCAGCTAAACCGGCTGAGAAGCCCTGTCTTCAAACTGCAGTGGCATTTGGGGTCTCGCACCAGAGTCTGAGGATCAGTCCCGGCCTTCAGGGTCTCTCCGTCAAGGTGCCAGGGTCGGCAGTCACAATCCCCACACGCTACCCCTGTGCCCACCCCCGGCCTGCACCAGAACCCCATCCCTATTCTGGAAACTTGTCATCTCCCGCCCCCTCTTGCCCCTGTGACCCTGATGACTCTTCGGAAACTGGGGTGGACTGTGGTCACCACAGCTGATGTTTAACACTCACGGAGGGCAAGGTGTCTGAATGTGGAGCTGCTTGTGACATGACGGCCTGCTCCTTTCCCTCCATCCTCTGTGTCTGGGGAGTCTTGCCTCCTGCTGCTAGACTCAGGTTATTCTCGTCCTCTGCCTCTGTGTGCCCTGCGTGCCCTGAGTGCCCACCTCGTTAGGGGCCCCAGAAGCCCCAGATGTTGCTATCAGAGGAATTCTACCCACTATCCCCTGGCACTTCTTTACCCTGGACTCTGTCTTCTCTCCGCAGGGATCTCCGGACAGGACAAGACTCGAAAGCGACTCCCAGCCCCTAGCCCAGGACCCCCACGAGCCCAGCCTGCCCCCCAGGTCCCCCACCCGCCACTTCCTGGCCCCTCTCACCACCCACCCCCCTTGGGGCTCAGGGCTTGGTGTGAAAGGCCAAGTGCTGGGCAGGTACCATGGGTGCTGGGCCCTAAGGCCTGGGTGGCGGGGGGTGGGTGGCCTGTGGGTGCGTGGGGGGCCAGCGCGCCTACCCCAGTCTCTTGGCGTGCTGGAGGGCATCCTGGATGGGATTGAAGTGAATGGAACAGAAGCCAAGCAAAGTGGAGTGTGGGTCGGACCCGGAGGAGAACAGGTAATGCGTGGGTCGGGCAACCTGCTGGCATCAACCCTGGGCGGCAGGCATGGTCCTCTGCCTGGCAGAGGAGGGCTGGGGTCCCTCCAACAGCGCTGGACCTGGGCTGAGGCCGACAGGCGAGGGGACCTGTCTCGGGTCCCAGGGAAGTAGGCAGTGGGGTTGAGAGACGCCCGCGTGAACGGGAAAGTGACAGGCGGATGTCGCAGCCCGACAGTGCTGGAGGTCTCTGCCCCGCGTCCTCGCTGTCACTGCTGCTCTCGCCTGATCCTGGGAGCTTCCCCTCCCCGTCTGACCGCAGGACAAGCGGTGTCCACAGCCATCGCTCCCGGAACATGACGTTTCGGGGCACATGCACGAGTGACGGTGCTGGTCATGGCCACGCTTCCACTTGGAGCCTGTTGGGAGCCCCACAAGCTCATCCTTGTTCGCTCGGGGCGGCCACCGCCGTGGGGCTCCTCCCAGGAAAGGGAAGCCCATGCCAGCTGTGAAGGCTGTGCTCCCACGTGGGTGAGGCCACGGCCCAGCACACGCAGCTAGGCACGGTCATCTGTGGCCTGCCTATCCTCGAGCTGCCTAGAGGGTCCCTGCCTCTCCTGTCGGCTCCAAGTGGCACAGGGCTCTGTCCCAGTTGGCGCGGTGTCCCAAGAGCTGGGTACAGCCTGTGCCTATGGCCAGGGAAAGAGTGGGGGTGGGGTGCTCTGGGGAGCAGTGTGGCTCCCTGTTGCCTAGGAGACCAGATTCGGAGCCAGGAGGCCCGAGGCCGGCCAAGCCCAGGGGCCCAGGCCTGGTTCCCCCAGGGGTAGAGGAAATGATGGGGCTCTGCCTTGTGTACACAGCCCACGGGGGGGGGGTGACGCCCCTCACCCAGACCCTCAGCCCAGTATGAAAAGGAGCGTCTGGCCTGTCACCGTAGAGCTGTCACTTGCATCCCTTGTATTTTCCTGCCCAGACTCCTCTGGATTCTGGAGAGGCTGCCCTTAAAGGCGGGAAGGCAGGTTCCCAGCGCCCCAGGACGACAGCCCCTCCCCCTTCCTCTCCCCTCCCCCACATCCGTGCGCCACCTCGTGGCTGTCCCTGGGACTGCACCCAGAGGCCAGGAGGCGGGTAGTAGTGGAAGAGGACAGCTCGCTGGGGCCTAGGTGGGCGAGGTGCCCTGTGCGCACCCTCCGGAAGGCGGGAGGGCGGCCTGACCCTGCAGCCCCCTAGGAACCAGAGAGGGTGATCCCCAGGGGGCGTGGAGCGCAGGGTTGTCTGCGACTGTGACCCTGGCCAAGGTCACTGTGTCAGTGTGTTGGGAGCTGCATCCGGCTCCGAGAGGAGGGGCCCTGCGACATGCCACGCGCAGGGTGGGTGTGGAAGGTTATACAATCCTTGCACGCATGCATGCAGAGGGCTTATGTAAGCTGTGTGTACCGAGGTTATGTAACATGTATGTGCAGAACCTGGCAACATGTATGTGCCGTGGCTGAGGGTGGCTCAGGTGTGCCGGCATGGAGGGGCTCAGGGTCCTTGTCCTAGCTCGGCCCCCGGTGCATGGTATCGCCAGGCACAAGTGCACTTTGGTTTGTGGCTCTGCTGAAGGAAAGCTGCGGGCTGGATGATCCACTATTTTCACGCATGGGCGTGGCCTGGTTCCCGCTGGGGGAGGGAGATCGCTGGGAGCCCGTCCACGGGGCTGTGTCATTCGGCACATCCTAGGGGTCACGTATCACCCTTGAGCGTGTGGAGTTGTGGAGCTATAGGTCCCCGGGACTGATTACCATACTGGGGTTCATAAGCAGGCTGTGTCCTTATTCATCGGCTGCATATATGCGTGTGCATTCTAAAGGTCACACAGCTTGGAGAACATTCTGAGGATCCTTTCAGCATATTTATTGTCTATGAAGTCTTAAATATGGGGCTGTCCTCTGGATTGGGGGCACTTGAGAACTGCAGTGTGTGTGTGTGTGTGTGTGTGTGTGTGCGCGCACGTACGCGCGTGTGTGTTGGGGCCCGAGAACCTGCTTTGGCCCAGCCAAGCCCCTTATCTTTCCCTGCAGCTATCAGAGCCAGGCCCTTCTAAGTTTGGCAGCTGCCGTGGGGTGGGAGGTAGACTGAGGACAGGAGACGGAAGTGCTGGGCCTAGGGCTTGCAGGAGCCTCTGGGGTAAGAAGGGGCTGCCTCAGGACTGCTCTGTGACTCTGCCCACTTTGTCCCCATCCAGTGCCAGGTCACCAGATGGAAAGCGAAAAAGAAAGAACGGCCAATGTTCCCTGAAAACCAGCATGTCAGGTGAGCCTAGCCGAAGTGCCCTGCTTTCCACGCCTCTCTCGGTCCTGGGCCTGGTCCAGCCTCTCCTGCGTCCAGGGAGAGCTCCCAGAGGGCATGAGGGGTTGTCCCTGGTGAAGAGCAGGGACGTGGTATCTGTCCCAGCCTTTACAAAGGGTTAGGTCCAGAAGGGCCTGTTCTCTTCACCTGCCCGTAGGCCCCCACCAGAATCAGGACCTGAGCTGCTCTCCCTGCCACACCTCTCCCCTTACAGTGGCTGGGTACAGTGCTGCAGTCCTGTAGTCCTAGCTACCTGGGAGGCTGAGGCAGGGGAATCACTTTAGCCCAGGAGTATGAGGCCAATGTGGGCAGCATAGCAAGACTTTGTCTCCAAACTGAAAAGCAGAAAGAGCTGGGGATATAGCTTAGTGGTAAGAGCATTTGCCCTGGGTTCCATTCTCAACCTGGCGAAAGTGGAAAGGGAGAGAGGGAGGGAAACAGAGAGAAGGAAGCCAGCCAGCCAGGCTTGAGTGGGCAGTAAAAAGGATCCCCAGCATTCTGCCTTCCCACCTGGAGATGGAGCCCTTCAGCCAGCCTGGGCTCGGAGCTGGGCAGAAGGGAAAGGCTGGGGCCCGGGGGGAGCCTGGGAGGAGGCTGTCTTCGGGCCCCACACCATGCCCGCTCTCTCCACCCCTTCCTCTGCCCAGGGTATATCCCTAGTTACCTGGACAAAGACGAGCAGTGTGTCGTGTGTGGGGACAGGGCCACCGGTTATCACTACCGTTGTATCACCTGTGAGGGCTGCAAGGTATGGACGGCAACCCCGCCCCTCCCAGCCTCCCTCCCTCATATCCCTCGGCTCTGCTTGTTACTTCATCTTCCTTCTTTTCTTTTCTTTTCTTTTCAAAATTTGGGGGGCGAGGTTACCAGGGATCGAACTCAGGTCCTTACGCTTGGGAGGCAGATGGCGGAACCACTGGGCTAAATAAATCCCCGCCCCCCCCATCTTCCTTCTTTTATGCACTTGTGCATTCATTCCTACTCCCTGTGCTGCCACTCACAGGTAAATTGCCTCACCTCGCCAAGCCTCGGTTTCTTAATCTATAAAATGGGCATAGTCATATTATCTGTCTCGTATAGTTGTTGGCAGAATTAAATATTTACATGAAATGTTTTGAGATGTGCCAGGCAGATGAGAAGAACTTGATAAATGTCAGCTGTTACCCAGCCAGGCAGTGTATTAGGAGGGAAGGGTGCAGCTGGGCGTGCACACCTGTAACCCCAGCACTCGGGAGGCTGAGGTAGGAGGATCGCCATGAATTCAAGGCCAGTGTGGGCTACAAATAGACAGACAAAGAAAAAGGCATGTATTTTTACTTAGTGAACATTCAACAGACCTTAACGCTTCGTACTGCTGCCATCTTGATTTTTGAGGGTTCTCCTTTTAAAGCCTAGACTAATCCAGATACACAGCATTGAAAATTTCCATTTCAAGGCACTAGAGTTTATGTGCAACGTCTTTTCTCAATTTTTGCTCCTCCTGTCTCATAAACTTTACCTGCGTGAATGCCAGGCAACATCCTTTATGTGAGAATGGTGTTGAGGTTAGGGCTGGGTCTGGATGCATTTTGCTCCAGATGGGAAATGAGGTAGCAGTTGGGTTTCCAACGCTGCTGCTGCCTCCTGCAAGCTTGAGGCACCTCCCACTGCTGCAGGCCAAGCCCCCTCTGCCATTCACCCTGGCCCAGCGTCAGAGCAGGGCAGAGTCTGCACCCAGCTCGCCTCCCTCACTGCCCTGTGAGCTGTGGGGTTGCTTCAGGAAGGGAAGTCAGGGTAAGAGCCGTGCCGTCTTCCCCACCCTAGGGCTTCTTTCGCCGCACAATCCAGAAGAACCTCCATCCCACCTATTCTTGCAAATATGACAGCTGCTGCGTCATCGACAAAATCACCCGCAACCAGTGCCAGCTGTGCCGCTTCAAGAAGTGCATCGGCGTGGGCATGGCCATGGACCGTAAGGGGCGCAGGCCCGGGCGTGCGGGCAGCTCAGGGCTGGCAGCTCCCTTCCAGGGTCTCCTAGGGGCAGAACAATGGCCCAGTCCTGAGCGTGCTCGGGGACTTAATGCCAGAGGTCAGGAAAGAGGTCTCTCTGGTGGGCCTGCCAGGGACACAGTGCTGCGGCCTTCACTACCTGAGGGCCACCCTCGAGCTGTTCCCACCCCCAGAGCAGCACTCGCTTCCAGGTGAGGCTGTCTAGGTCGTACGCACCTGCTGGGCGGGCGACGTGGGAAGTCAGCCTCCCTGGCCCCCGGTTTCCCCACCAGGAAGTGCGCTGCAGAGAGGGCGGAAGTGTGCTGTGCAAAGGGCCTCACTCACGTCTGTCTGTCCACAGTGGTTCTTGATGACTCAAAGCGCGTAGCCAAGCGCAAGCTGATCGAGCAGAACCGGGAGCGGCGGCGGAAGGAGGAGATGATCCGGTCCCTGCAGCAGCGGCCGGAGCCCACTCCCGAGGAGTGGGACCTGATCCACGTGGCCACGGAGGCCCATCGCAGCACCAATGCCCAGGGCAGCCATTGGAAGCAGAGGAGGAAATTCCTGGTGAGGACATGGGCAGGGAGCAGGGAGCGGGGACAGTGCGCCCAGAGTGACTGGAGCCAGGCCTGACACCTTATGCCGCCTGTCTGCATCCCCTCGGTCCATGGCATAGGGCTTCCGGGAGGGCAGGGCCTTGCCTTGCTCCTGAATTCCAGTGCAGGGTGACCTCTCCTGGTTCTCCTGCCCATGTGACCTGGAGGGGGCCTTGGGGACACAGTCATGTAACAGTATTTCCCAGCACCTGCTGGGTCTCAGGCATTGTGTGAGGCCCTGGCAGAGCCGGCTGCCAAGCGGATGATCAGTTTGGAAGGAGATGGACGGTTGGCGCCCGGTTCTTGGCAGCAGAGCCAGGGGGTGGGACGTGTACTGCTAATGTGCTCCCGAGCCCAGCAGATGGGTCTGTGAGGGGCTGGGCGTGGGCCTTTGGCTTCTTGCTTGGCTGTACCAGGACTCAGTTTCCCTGTGGATGGCAATGAGCTTGTTCTTCTTCTGGAGTTATGATGAGGACTCACTGAGATATGTAGGATGTGAGGCCTAATGCTGGCCACGTGTTTTCAACCATTGTACTGCTTATCATTATTATTATTACTTTGGCAGTACTGGGGATTAAATCTACAGCCTTCACACTGAGCTATAACCCCAGCCTTCTTAATTTTTTTAAATTTTGAGACAAGATCGCTCTCTCTGTTTTTTTTTTTGGTACCAGGGATCAAACTCAGGACCTTGTGCTTGTAGAACCACTAAGCTAAATCCCCGGCACCCCCGCTTTTTTTTTTTTTTTTTTTTT